AGCTTCTCTCACCATTTTTATCTTAAGATCTGAAAAATGTTACACTATCTAAAATTACTAGTATTAATTGCTTCAAATTCATGTAATGAAGCAAAATTAACGAAATATGTGTCCTACTTCAAACTGGTCATATTTCCACTTTAAATATTATTGCAGATTTTTAAAAGGTCATTGCACAATTCAAAAAAAAATATTCTGGTAGTTAAGATTCACAATGAGATATTAGATACTTTAAATTTTATCTCGTGTTGACCAAATTATGATAATACGTACCCTTTTGCCGTTTTTCTGATAAACATCATTTAAAGCAGATTAATGATGTAAACATTTTTCATGCATGATTGCTTCTTTGATCCCGTACATTCAAAGATGTACGTACATGTATAAGACAAGTGTATGTCATCAATGAAAAATAAAATTACACAAAATGAACTTTTATCATCCATATTAACTTAAGCATACCGGAAAAATGATTGTGATTTAAGGACTCAATTCATGTTCTGCTCCATATATTTATCAGACATGCGAAATATCACGTATACATAGGGCAACACGTTTAGCTAGGGAGACAGGATGCAGATTGATTCACTCTGGCGTTCTATACTTTTAATTGTGTTCAGTGCATTAACTGGACATACTGAACACCTGATCGACGCAAAACACTCACTTTTGGAAAATTTGGAGTACATCTTGAATTCAGATCTTTTTTTCCACAATAAGATTAAATGTATCCACAAATATCATTACTTTTATATTCAAGTCATTCTTGATATATACTCAATTCTCATTATATCGCGGGTTCCATTGTATCGCGGTATATTCCAAAAAATTAGATACATAGCCCATGTGATTTTTGTGGATAAAGCTATCTGTCTGTCACCTGAATGTAAATTTTTGTGATGATTAAAATGAATGGAACATGCGTTGGAAAAGTTTGTATTTATATAAAACGTAATTTTTACCGATTTTCATTCGTTTTTATTTTATTTAGACCACAGAATTTATAATCTAGTAAAAATCCGTGATAAAGTTCATATTTTGAAAGTCTTTAGTTTGTATAATTGTTATATTTTTATGCAGAATTACACTGTCAATTTAAAAATTAAGATTGAAGTCCATGTCAACCACAAGTTTCCATGTTTTCCCATACCGCGATACTATGAGACTCTCCAATTTATGAGGCAAATAAGACTTCATGTTTTAAAAATAGACTACAAATTAAACGATGCATGCTTGGGAAATAATTTGACACTGAAAAGTTAGGCCAAAGTCTGGTTTATGAATATCATTTGATGAGAGTTCAGGTAAAAAATTGGAATTACACTTTTTAAGCAAAAGCTTTTAAGTACCGCGATATAATGAGACACCAGTATACATATTAATCTGTTGTTTTAAAACGTTTGGGAAACAGTATTTTCACTTTTAGGTATATATCTTCCATTGACTTCTTTACTTGTGAAGGTTTTAGAATACCCTTACTACATGTATGTGCATACTTGTATATTTCTCTCTTGAAAGTTACGGATAAGGTCGAGTTGAATGGTTTTGATGATTGTTCATCAGATAAAATATGAAATGTCTATTTTAAGATGAATATGTCTTCTTAATGCATACAATAATCGGGGGAAAACCTTATAAACAGAAAATCTAATAAATGACATTTGACCCCATCTCTGATTTTTGGAGGTTTTTGTTTGCTCTCCTACAATTTTGTATAGTTTAATATTCTTTTGAGCCTGCATACTGTCGTTATCTCCTTAAATTTCATGCAAAACACAATAAAGGCAAACAAATATACATGCAACATACGAAAAGATTAATCCAAAGAGGATACATGTTTGATACATGTACATGTGTAAGAAACAATCTAAGAGATATAACATAAATTATCGAGAATATTAACATTAATAAGGTCGTCGATAATACATGCATATGTATACATTGTACACTTAATGAAATATAAGAAGGATTCAAGCTCTTTGATCAGAATATACTAGTATATCAAAGTTGTTGTCCTGAATGTTAGTATTTAGTTTTGTGTCATTATGATAACTCCCAATCCCAAGTTACAACCTTTTTTTCATCAGAAACTTGAAATGACTTTACATGTATTTTTTTATATTTCAATTACATATATACATGTAGAAAACCCAAGGATTGCCCTCTGATATTTTTACATAAATATTTTTGACCCCCAACTTTGTGCATTTTTTGCTTTGCTTCGTTTAATTAATTGATTAAATGAGTCGGGACATTTTTTTCACTTTCAATACTGTTGCTATTTTCTTGTAATTCATCAAGAAACTATTTTAGTTGACTTAGCTTCGGTCTGTATTAATAACAAAGCAACATAAATATTTTTGGATAAAAGAATTTTGTGGGGAAAAGTTCACCGGGACAGTCTTCTCTTTGAAACATAATTAATGTTCAAAGGAAAAGCTCAAATTGATATTTAATTTAATTGCCTTTTAAAAGGATATAAGATAAGCAAAATGATTTCAAGAATAATAAAACTCATGTTTGTAAAATGGAATATTTCAATATGTAAATTCAGATTTGTTAATAAATATCACTAAATGCCTGGTTGCTTATTTACACTTCATGCTTGCAGGTGTATTTGAATGTGGGACAATCATAATTAGTCTTATTATTTGAAAACTGTCTTGTACTTTCTAAATTTATATTGTAACCCGTGCATTGGTTTTAGAATCGTAAAATATCAACTTCATATTGCATTTAAAGCATAAAACTATTAAAAATCACTTCTGCTGTTGCAACGTCACCAAAAAGGAACGAGAATAAGGGGGACAAAACCACATCTGTTTTTGTAGCCTTAATTTTAATGGGATGTTTGGTAATTGTAATTTTAGATTCGTGGTGGCCAGAATTTTTAGCTATACATTTAGTTTCAAGGTTAGAATTCTTAGGAGAAGGTTTACCAAAATTGAACACTACAATAAGTATATCTGTATATCAGGCGCTGAATGAGTAAAGCTGAAATGTTCACGCAATTCAATAGTAATTTATCGATCAGACTTTCCACATAATTATATTTAAGCATTATGTTTAACTAATACTAAAACAATCAAAACATGTTTTTGATTTTAATGAAAAATTTGAGGTATTCCTCAATATGAAAAGAAACACAGGAAATTGAAAGCGATTTCTAATAGCAGTCTCTTTCTCTTCATATTATAGTTTAAGAAGTATTTTTTTCATTATATACAAAGAAGCATATTACAATAAACACAGACTGAAAAGAAGGCAAAGGGTCTATATTACATGTAGTTCTTTTCATTTGAGATCAAGGTACCAATGTAAATACTGTACATATTTGAAGTTCTCCTTCACCACCAAGTCACGTGGGTATCACGTGAGATATGCAAGCCTACTCCCAGATCAGTTGCGCGTTTATTCCCAGATCGAGCAGAAGTGTTTTTTCACTGGAAGTGATTATAATTGATTTTGGATATCTGAACAATGTCAATGTTACAAAAACTTTCTGACGAGTTTGGAATTAGTACCTTGGACAAATCTAATGACGCCCCAGTTCATGTAGAGGCTGATGTTCATGTTATTGGACCACAAGATAACTTTGAAAATTTTCCTACTAAAAAACAGCCAAGCTGTTTAGGAGAATCTTCTTCTTCTGCAATAAAGGACCCAAGCTGCTCAGGAGAACCTACCAACCTACGAGATTCGTTCAAAGAACGCCTCGTAGAAAAGCTGTTTTCAGCGCAATTTAAGCAGTTCCATGATATGCAAGAGTTTGTAATGGCTGAATTAAACGCTACTAATGAGCATTAAGATGAACTCTTGTCTGACGAGATTGATGGGGAACCACCAGCAAAGACGAAGAAAGTGTCTGGAGATACTTCTGGAGAAACAGCAAAACCGTCCGAAAATTCCATCTTGGAAAAGTTATCTAAACAATTTGACGGTAAGGATAAGTTTGGATTGCCGATCGGAGATGAGCTTGCGAAAATTTTGAAAGCTATGTTTTCTGGAGACAAAACTAAAGCAAATGAAGAGAAGAAACGAGAAGAAATTTATGAAAAATTTAAACTACCTCAAAATTGTGAAATGTTGTTGGTACCTAAAGTCAATAAGGAAATATGGCGATCATTACCGGCATCTGCAAGGAATTCGGATCTTGACAAACAAAAGCCGCAAAAACTTATCGCACATGCCATAGTTTCGATAATTCGAGTCGTCGACAATCTCATTAAAACGAACCCTCATGGAGATAATGCTGGAACAAATGAGACCGTTAATCGGCTCATGGAGGCCATATCTATGATAGCCATGGCTTATGATGAGATCAATCATGTGCGCAGAAATTGCATTAAGACATCTCTGAATGTGGAATACCGATCTTTGTGTTCATCACAAAATGCCGTCACCGATAATTTATTTGGTGACAATATCACTGATCAGCTTAAAGGTCTTACGCAAGGAAATAGCCAATCAAAATGAACTTAGTCAATTGAAGTTCCATATATAGAGAGAATTTTTTTTTCTTTTTTCATTTTTGGCATTTTGTTTTAGGCCTACAGTATTAAAATTGGACTCATGTACTAGGAATATCATTTCTTTAGCAGAATTATCCCACTGAATGAAAAGGAACTCTTTTTTCAGGTGCGCATGATGCAACTTCCTGGATGGTTTGTAGGCTGTTTGTCAACATGTGAATCCCACGTGCATTTCGGGGTAGGTATGTTTACTGTCGATTTTCTTTCTTAAAAGCCGCATAAGGCATATTTTTTCTGATCTCAAAATTTTGTTTAAGCATTAATCTTTATTTTCTCTTTCATGAATTTTCTGCTGAGAGTCTAGTAAATTAAATAATTTAATTCAAGCTATATAGTAATATATAGTGAAATTATTTCCTTGTGTGAGACCTAAAGAGAAACAGGTAACTCTCATTTTCACTAAAATTTCTTTGATTTCAGGAGTTATCTCCCCTTGAAAAGATCAATAATAGCGGATAAACAATGCGGCATGCAGTCTGGCGTCAACGGACAGTTTTGACACCCGTATACCCGTATTTCTACGAAATACCTCTGAAACCTTTGTTGTGTTCATCACACAGGTAAGAAAAACAAGATTTTTAATTCAAATAATTTTAATGAGCTAAATAATAAAGAATATAATATTTTTACATGTACAGACTCTCTCGTATAACAAAATGTCACATTTTACACATACAATTAATACATTATTCAAATGTCCACATTTTCCCCATTTACACAGTTGAAAATAATCAATGCATAATGAACCATAAAAACAATTATTACATGTAAGATAGTTCACAAAATATATTTTAAATACAAATTTTATACATTTGAAATGCATGTACATATCATCAATGCCCCCCCCCCCCTTCACAGTCTTACATCTTCCTTTTTAATTTTGGATCTGTTAATGATTTACTGTAAGTGTCTTTAGATTTTTTATCGTACAGCTGATATCTTTTAGATCTGTAGTATTTTCTTTGAAATTTATATTTTAACAGTTTTTGTTTCATTTTAAAGTAATTTTGTCCATTTTGTTGTTGTTTTAGATGATGGACCACTCTACTTCCTTTTACAACAGGTGCCCCTACAGATTCACAAAGTTCCAGTGTTGAGTTTCCATGACCCCTATTCAGTGAGTGTACAACTTTATGTATTCTACTTTCAAAATTTCTACTACTTGTAATACATTTTGGATTTGATTTTAAATATGCCCTATTTACAGATTCAGATTTTTGTGTACAAGTATGATATTGATTCTATCAAGATTACTTTGTCCTAAAGTCAAATTTATACAGTCTTTTAACAATCATTTGTCTTTTTCTGTCATGTTTAATTCAAAGTCACTAGGCAACACTGAAGATTTCCACTTATTGCTTTTCAGTCCATGACAGGAAAAGGAATAGAGTTGACAGGACTTCCCGCACTGTCCCTGGTAGCAGTTTATGAGGGAACCAACCGCAGTAGACATAGCACGCTTCATCAAAGGTAAGTCGCCGGAGTAGTGTTTGTAGCAATTCTCGTACTCTGTCCTGCATCGAAGCTTCAGGTCCAAGGCAAATCTTCGCTGCATGGATTCTCTCATGGCCTTGGTTCTTCCCGGAAACATGTGACTGCTGAATGGAGCCTTAGCAGTCTGTTTTCTTTGAGAGTCAAAGAAGTGACGCAAGTCCTTAAGGTTTTCAATCACATGCCCTTGTTTTTCAGATGCACCAGATGCAGCGGCACTGTCTCCATCACTGGTGAAATGGGATATTACTAGTGGCCGGTCATCACTCTGTAACTCACCAACACAATTAGCGGCCCATCTCTTCTTGTCTCCAATGGTGGTCTCCGGAGGAATGGTTGCAGTGCAGTCTTCATGTCCTGGGCAGGTAACCTCTTTTCCTTTGCTTCGTAGGTGTGCGCCTTTCTTACATAGTTTATTCCCACAGAAAACTGCTACCACATTCTTCCTCTGAGTTACATTTTCACTTACGGTATACGTCACTTGGGTGGCAGCTTGAAATGGGGTTTTCTCAATGGCACTGAAGGTGGCATTATTGTACCGAGCATCTCCTTCCGCTCTGATGGGGGTATCCGGAAGTCCACATTTTTCATTAAGTTCTTGAATATTCTGCCGAATTTTCTTCATACTGTTTTTATTCACATCGGTTATAATTTTCCCCACTTTGTTGCAGGTCTGTTGCATGTTGGCGGCTGACGCTGGTTCAATATTTGCACCAAGAAGCATACCACGCATACCCTCTGTTGTAAGACTGGTACCCAGGTGACCGACAGCCATGGCCACATTCAGCTGTGCAGCTCTTCGTCCCCTTCCAGATCTTCTCACCTCTTCGTACAGCTTTTCTCGGTGACTGGTATAGTGGCACTTCTTACATCGAATGGATTGATTGATTGATTGTATACTGTTTAACGTCCCTCTCCAGAATATTTCACCGATACGGAGACGTCACCATTGCCGGTGAAGGGCCGCAAATTCAGGCCTATGCTCGGCACTCATGGCCTTTGAGCAGGGAGGGATCTTTATCGTGCCACACCTGCTGTGACACGGGGCCTCGGTTTATACGGTCTCATCCGAAGGACCGCCCCATTTAGTCGCCTTTTACGACAAGCAAGGGGGTACTGAGGACCTATTCTAACCCGGATCCCCACGGGGCTACATCGAATGGAAAGGATCCATGCCAGGCCTCGTTTTTCCTCCCCATGCTGATTCCAGTCCAGTGGACCATCACAGTCTGGAAACTTCTGTAAGTGTTCTTTAAATGCATTGTTCCACAATTTAGCAGTCTTTTCTTGGTGAAGTACCTTGTATAATTTTGAATTTGGGTCATCTGACACAGATTCCATGTACATGTCCACTGGCTGGACCTCACTTGGCCCGGGTCGTAAAAACTTCATCTCACTGCTTCGGCTCCTGGCATCTATAACTGTAAAAACCCCATTTTTCTGTGGCCGTACAATGTCCTGAAACTCTTCTTTACTTAGTCTTCTTATGGGAACTAGAGATTGGACTGGGCTGGTGGTTCCTATTTTCTTCTGGCCTTTGTTGTGAGGAATACTTCCTTTTTTGTATTGATGTTGATGCAACCATTTTGGTCCTTTCTTTGGCATGGTAATTATTTAACTGTATACTTGTAGACTTTTTCTAAGAATATGCTATTGTATGTGGTGCACATTTTTAAGTATTGTAAACTTTTGTGTTGATTATTTATTTTAGAGCTGCCTGGTCTTCTAAGAGAAACTCCATTCCTTGATGACTGATGGAAAAGCCTCATCACCCCCCACTGCTTAAGAACCCCTTATCTTAATCACCAGCCATTAATCAGTGATCACTGTTATCAAAGCTCCAAGGTACATTATTGAAGTCTCTTTTGAAACCATTTTTTCCAGTCTCTGACATTGTTTTAGAATTAAGATTTTCACTTTTTTGCTAATTAATTCCTTAAAAATCAGTTAACTTCCTGTTTCTTAGCTAATTAGAGCTCATTAATTAGAGTTGAAATTATTTTTTAGCAGAAAGCCAAAAACTACAATATTTCAGCTTTCAATTCATTCAGTTTTTTTTTCTCAATAATTCACTCATTAAATTTTTTCAAGTTTTGAAATTAATATGCTAAAGATGAATTTGTACAGAAATTTAGCCTAAAATTCAATAATCTGTTAGGAAGAGTTATCTCCTATTTTTCATCCCTTAAGGACAAAGATAAATTTTGACGCACTAGTATATGAAAGATAAATAACTCAGAGATATTTTATGCAAATTATTTAATTTAATTAACTTTTAATTGTCTTAAAGGTCTTACGCAAGGAAATAGCCAATCAAAATGAACTTAGTCAATTGAAGTTCCATATATAGAGAGAATTTTTTTTTCTTTTTTCATTTTTGGCATTTTGTTTTAGGCCTACAGTATTAAAATTGGACTCATGTACTAGGAATATCATTTCTTTAGCAGAATTATCCCACTGAATGAAAAGGAACTCTTTTTTCAGGTGCGCATGATGCAACTTCCTGGATGGTGTGTAGGCTGTTTGTCAACATGTGAATCCCACGTGCATTTCGGGGTAGGTATGTTTACTGTCGATTTTCTTTCTTAAAAGCCGCATAAGGCATATTTTTTCTGATCTCAAATTTTTGTTTAATAAGCATTAATCTTTATTTTCTCTTTCATGAATTTTCTGCTGAGAGTCTAATAAATTAAATAATTTAATTCAAGCTATATAGTAATATATAGTGAAATTATTTCCTTGTGTGAGACCTTAAAAGCATTCAAGAAGCAAATAAAGTCGGCAAGAAAATAAGTGAAGATCGCAAAATCTGGCTTTTTTTCATGGAAATCGGAAGCCGTTTTTAGGCTCAAGAAAGTCCTGGACGATTGGATCCAGGAAAAGAGGAGGGGAGAAGAATGTTCGCGGAACCTTCCGCCCCTACCGAAGGAACCTGACCAAAGACAGTCGTCAGCAATAAGTCAGGTTAGTGACTTACCAATTGCTGGTAGCTTACAGCATTTTTTGTCAAATTGGAAGTATGTAACTAATGACAAAGTTATTTTAGATATTGTGTCTGGATACAAATTAGAATTTTCATCGATGCCTTTACAAAATTCTTTTAGAGAAACATTTGTGAATAGTGCACAGTCAATGTATTTGGACTGTGAAATACAAAAATTGAAGGACAAAGGTGTAATTCGGGAAGCTGTTTTCCGTAACGATCAATTTATTTCTTACTCCTAAAGCTGACAAAACATTTAGAATGATTCTTAATTTGAAGGAACTGAATGAATTTATTGTATATAAACATTTTAAAATGGAAAGTTTTAGTAATGCACTTTGTATGGTTACCCCAAATTGTTATATGGGTACGATTGACTTAAAAGACGCTTATTATACTGTTCCAATTTGCAACGCAGATAGGAAATTCATGCGGTTCATTTGGAAAGGGCAGCTTTGGGAATACACTTGTTTAGCAATGGGATTAAGTTCAGCATCCCGTGTTTTCACTAAACTATTGAAACCTATTTTGTCTGATCTTCGTTCAAGAGGTCATCAATCAGTGATGTATATAGATGATTGTTACGTACAAGCTGAGTCTTTTGATATGTGCTTGAAAAATATAAATGACACTGTAGAAATCTTAGAAAACTTAGGTTTTGTCATCAACCGGGAAAAATCTGTCATGATTCCAGCAAGAACTTTACTTTTCTCGGATTTATCATCTGTTCAGAAACTATGACTATCAAGATTCCGCATAAAAGGATAGAGAAGCTCAAAAATAAAATAGATGCGATTTTGAGAGAACGAAGAAATTCCATTCGAGAAGTGTCAGAATAGCTACGTATGTTAAATTCTAATGTCCTTGCTTGTCCCTTATAGTATCCTTGTATTGCAAGTGCCTCGAAATTGAAAAGATTCAAGCATTAAAGATAAATAAAGGAAATTTTGATGCTGTCATGTGCATATCTGATAGTTCTGTTAGTGATCTGAAGTGGTGGTATGAAAACATAGAATGTACCGAATCACCTATTCGAAGAGAATCACCCTCTCTGGAAATGTTTACCGATGCTTCTCTTACTGTTGGCTGGGGAGCAGTTCTGGGTGATATACGGACTGGGGGACCGTGGTCGCAGATTGACAGCTCAAATTATCCTTACATTAATTATTTAGAACTGTTTGCTGTCTATTTAGCTCTCCAGTCCTTCAAGAATAAAATTAGAGATAAGCATTTGAAACTGCACATTGATAATTCCACGGCCGTAGCCTGCATAAATCATTTTGGATCAACTCAGTCGGTGATTTGTAACCTATTAACAAGAGACAATTGGCTTTTGGCTTAACGTTATAATGTGTTCCTTACAGCTGTCCATATCAAGGGCTCGTTAAATGCTGTAGCCGATTTGGAAAGCCGTAAAATTCGCGATGACACGGAATGGATGTTTAACAGAAATTTGTTTTTGAAGTTAACCAGTATCTTTTCTCGACCAGTTGTCGACTTATTTGCATCTCGAGTAAATAATCAGTTAACTAATTACATATCTTGGCACCCTGATCCGAGTGCTATTGCTACTGATGCTTTTACATGTACTTGGAATTTGTATTCATGTGTGTATATTTTTTCTCCATTTACTAGTAGTTTGATCCAGCGAATTCTGAAAAAGATTGTGGAAGAACAAGTACCATGCAGCTGCAATTATAATTGTTCCAGATTGGCCAACAGCGAGTTGGTATCCATTCCTGATGAAACTGTGTGTCGATGCACCTCTTATTCTTCCTCAGTCCCGGGACACATTGGTATTACCTCATCGCCCTCAAGAAGTTCACAAACTATACCCAAAGCTGCGTCTTCTGGCATGTCACATATCTGGAAAGTGTATCAATCCAAAGGCATTCCAGAGAAAGCAATTCCGGTTCTTATGAACTCTTGGAGAGCGTCAACTAAAACACAGTATGATTCGCATATGAAAAAGTGGCTAGAATTTCTAAATCGCAAATCTATCCATGTATCTGATACTTTTTCAATTACAGTTGTCTTGGACTTTCTTACTGAACTTTTTGATAAAGGATATTCATAAAGTACAATTAATTCCGCCAGGAGTTTTCTTAGTTGTTTATTACCACCTGTTAATGATGTCGCTATTGGTTCTGATCCGCTAATTAATTTCATGAGAGGAGTCTTTATCGACCGTCCTAATTTACCGCGATATACAGAGACTTGGGATGTGAGCACGGTCTTATCGTTTATTCGCAGTATGGGGGAAAATGAAGTTTTATCAGTGTTTGATCTGACATTGAAGCTTGTCATGCTATTAGCGTTAGTAACAGGACAGAGAGCACAAACTTTGTCACTTTTAGATTTAGATAATATGCATGTTTATGAAGATAGAATTGTGGTTTTTGTAAATAATCTTGTAAAACAATCTAGACCATCTTATCATATAAAACCAATTACAGTTTTAGCGTTTCCGGATGATATTCTTTATCGCTGTTAAGTGTAGCGTAACATCCGAGTGGTCGATTTGACCTCTAACGAGACCAGCCTCGAGACCGTGCGAGATCTGCACCAGTTCCTGTAAGATTTTGACAGGAAGTAGATGTGTGTTTTGGGATTTATGCATTTAATGTAAGTAAAGCTCATTTTATTTGCCTTCATTCACTTGAACATTTTTTGCACATAAATTTTGATTCAATTAGTCTTCATTTCTCGAATTCTATCACCTCAAACACATGAAACGAGAACATTAAATCATGTAAATTTAGAGTTATCGTCCTTTGTTTACATGCCTCCACGTGGTTGGAAAAATAAACATCTTTTGGTGCTATAAAAATATATAGGGCTTGTCAATGCTTTTAAATTATTATAATAAATTATTTATGTTGTTCTTGGTGTTGTGAAATATTTTACCCCAGTGTTAAAAGAAGTGAAGATGATTCAATGTGCAGAAAATGTTATAGTCTGTTTTACTTCTAACAATAGCAGATACACAATTTCTCAGTTACTTACATGCAATATACATGTAATAAACGTGTGAAGAAGTGCTTAATTAAATGAATATAGAATGAATGTGACATTCAAAAGATTAGAAATGGTAAATGACATTGTAAACAACCCTCAAGTGATCAGCTGGTGATTATTATTCAGGCGCGGATCTAGAAATTTTTCAAGGGGGGGGGGGTTGAAGAGGAAAAGAGTTTATATAACTTACGTTTTACATAAACATGTACATGTAGTCAAATTACGCAAACTGGAGTATGGTTTTTAAAAATGGTAGGTTGATCAACCTGTGAAAAAAATACTTGTACCTATAGATTACCTGAAATTTTTTGAAAGAGTGAAAAAAAATCTCTGAACCTTTAAATCCTATTATGTAAAGAAGTAGGGTTTCATTTTGTTATCACAACCAAATTTCTTTATATATTACAACATTAGCCTTTCAATGAACATTTTTCTATAATAAGAACACAATACACTATAGAAATTTGGGTCTTATTCTTTCTCTCTCTTATTTTGCAAATCAAAAGGGGGTAGGGAGTGCAGCGGGAGCCAGTCCAAACGCCCCCTAATAAAAACATCCCGGTCAAAGTGTCCCCTAATTTTAGTCAAAGCGTCCCCTGATTTTAGTCAAAGCCCCCCCTAACATATTTTTATGGAAAAAATACTGCCACCAAATATTACTTTAAGATTATTTAAATTCCCTTGATCACAATCTTTGATGACATACAGACACTCAAACTGTAAAGTACTGAGTACTGAGCACATGAATGGTACTAGTAAGTAATTTGATTGATTCATTATCATGCCTGGAGTGATTGTAATATTTCAAAAAGTCTGTCAAATTCTTAAAAACATAATTATTTTACACTCATGATGTTGTGTGTCAGTGTCCCTTATGCAAAAAATATAATTGCTTTAATAAATTCTCATAATTTTTATGATATTTTAGATTTTAATGACTAAAATGATTGATCATTATTGAAATAAAATATCTCTTACAGACACGATGTAAAAGGCTAATTTATCTTCATCTTAAACATAGGATATGGAGATAACGAACAGTATTTAATATCAAAGTCCATAAAACAATACAAAATAGGAGCAGAGCCAACACAGACCTCCGAAACATCAGAGGTGGGATCAGGTGCCATGGAGGAGTGAGCATCCCCTGCGGACCGGTCACACCCGCTGTAAGCTCCTTGTCATGATCGTGAAATAATGAAAAAAATCCGTCGTCAATTCAGTGTATAAATAATGGGCTAACAATTTGTATGAAAAACGTCAGTAAGCATTTACATATTGTAAATCAATTATAAATCAATATGATTTACATTATGTAAATCAACTTTCAATTGCTTTTCTTGGCTGTACAGCACTTTAAGTCACATAGTAGTATAATATGATAATAAAGACTTTCAAGTAGGCATAAATCTGCTTCAGGCATAATTTTAGTTTTTAGGTGTCATTTATTTTTCCACGGGTAGCTTCATTGCATTTTTTCGCCTCAATTCCCTGCTTGACGCAGTGGTTTGAGTGTCTGCTCTAGAGTTGCGAAGTAAGGAGTCAATCCTTACATCACGTGTTCAAATCCCACTGTGTGACTTGGAGATGGTCCTTCGGATGAGACTGTATAAACTGAGGTCCTTTGTCACAGTAGGTGCTGGCACAAAAAAGATCCCTCAACAATTAGATAACCTTATTTTGACACAGAATTGACTCTGAATTTACTTTGTCAGTGTATGTCGAGTGTACAACAATGAAAACTATACACATCATATCTAAAACTTTTTTTGTGTGTTTTAAAGGAAGCTAGTGTCAAAACCCCCACCTCCCCACCTGAATCTGTGTACCTGTATATAATTTTTGTGATAAATAAATATGTGCTTGTAGTTATCATCATGAACATTTAATAAATAAGAGGAAAAATAATCTTTTGCAAAGCACTGAATAGCACAATATTATGGCCAACTGATTACTAATTTAACATGTTCAAATCCTGTTCAAATACACGTACAATTTAATTTTCCAAAATTTGTTTTATAAACTTTGCTTAAATTGGATATTAAAAGTTATTTTATAGCAATATACTGGAGGGACAAGTTCACTCAGAGACAAATTTTAAAGATTTAACCTTTGATAATGATGAATAACATCTACACCAAATAAATTTACTTTTGGCATCTTACATGTGACTTTTCTTATGCAAATTTATATATAATGTTGTACAACTTTTGCCTTCATGTTGATTAACTTTTAACACTGAGCCTTAACTTTCAGGTCTCTTCACGTCAATATTCTGATGTTGTCCGCCAGTCGCCCATCATACCCCTAATATATTAAAACACAGTAGTGGTACAGAGATTTGGACAATCTATCATCTACAGGCCTAGGATCTGGATGATGTCATGATCACAAACAAGTAATTATGTGCTCTTAAATACTGAAACTGATGAACAATTCGGTTCATGTGAACCTGAAGCACATTTGCAGCTCTGTTCTGCAGCATGTTAAATAATAAAGAGGGTGTGTGTGTATAGAGCATTTATTACAAAATGCCAAATGAGATTACAGATTTTACAATATCAGAATGCAGCAGAAGGTGGGGCCCAAAAACATCCCACACCTTATACAAAAGAAAACTAGTACATATATTTTCTACAAAATTAACAATAAGTACCTTATACAAAAGAAACTAGTACATCTATTTTCTACAATAACAAAAGTTATGCAATAACAATAGGCACCTTATATAAAAGAAACTAGTACATGTATTCTCTACAATAACAATAATTATGGAGGATTGAAGGGGTGGTGGTGGGTAAAATTTGTAAACCACATTTTTGAGCCGAAATGTTATTCTGATATGTCATGATCACAAACAAGTAAGAAAATCTGTTCAAGAACTTCAAGAAACCGTCCACTGAAACATAAAAACATGTACAGAGGCAATTTCAAAATACACACAAAGCAGGATTTGTCAAAGGCGTAAGTCCCTAGGGCCAGAGGCTCAAGGGAGTTTCTGGTTAAAATTTGTCTGTTGTATATTCGTGTACTTATTGTGAGTATTGTTGCCCTTGTTGTCATCTTTGTATATAAACTTTCACATTCTCCACTGGGCCACTTTCAACCAATTTGGCACAAAGTATTCTTGAACAAGGGAATAAACATGATAAAGGTTATAAGAAAAAGTTTAAAGAAAATGCAATGTCTCCTTCCTAAGGATAGTCCAGACATGAATGCTGTACTATGTCTTGACATGTAAACATGTAGCATATGTAGATTTAATTGTTATCATTGCCCTGGAGGATTGGGTACAAAGCCCCGAAAGGTAGGGCGACAAAAGAGATGAAGATTTTAGCTCACCTGAGGAAAAAACTCAAGTGAGTTTCTCTTATCACCTGTTGTCTGGCCCAGAAAAACTGAAATTTATGTGGAAGCATCCTAGGGTAGAGTATATTGTAAATTGTTCAAATCATAACCCCCGGGGGTAGGACTGGGCCACAATAGGGAATCAAAATTTTACATAGAAATATGAAGGAAAAAACTTTAAAAATCTTCTTCTCAATTAAGAACCACTGGGCCAGAAAAGCTGAAACTTATATGGAAGCATCCTAGGGTAGTGTAGATTGTAAATTGTTCAAATCATGACCTCCTGGGGTAGGGCGAGGCCACAATAGGGAACACAAGTTTTAAATTGAAAGATATAGGAAAATACTTTAAAAATCTTCTTCACAGGAACTACTGGGCCAGAAAAGCTGAAACTTATGTTCACTGTTCAGGTACCATTAGTGCTGTTGTGTCAGAAATTATTGAGGCATCATGTATCTGTGAAGATGAAGTTGTAGATCAGCCAAAAGACAATCCTGAAGTTGAAGTAGATGACTCTGATTATGGCTCTAATTTTTCTGATTTGAATGAAGATTCTGATTCAGAAAGTGAATATATTGAATGATTCAAATTCAATTTTGCAAGCAATTGTGAATAAAATCAAAAACTCTTATTTTATTGTATGTTTTAATTTCAGATTAATCATTTAAAGGGTCTGGGTGGTTGTGGCCATTCTCATACTATTTTGATCATCTTTAGAAGAAGAGTTCCACGATATAGAAAAATGATCATAGTTTAAAACTTAAATTTATAAAATTTGTCTTTGCCAAATGATAGTTGAGAGATTGAGATATCATATCTAGGAAATGATGGTTAATTTGTTGACCCCCAGCCTCCTTAAGCAATAAAAAGTACATAGTCTGAACTCATTACTTATAATATTAATATTTAGTCTTATGTGGAAGCATCCATGGGTAGTGTAGATTTTGATTTTCCAAATTATGACCAATGTGGTAGGGTTGGGTCACAATATGTATTACAGTGGGGGAATGTGGTATAGAACAGCATGGTCAAAGCTACTCAGGTGAGCAATGTGACCCATGGGCCTCTTGTTTAGTACAGTTAAGTGTACACATGTATATTGAGGATATTCAATGATTTGTAGTTGAATATGGAAATTATTTCATGTATGGGACAGGATATTTTGTCTCATTAGTTAAATAAATTCCATATTATTTAAATATGAAACATTGAATTTTCTGTTTATTACATTTTCTTCGATTTTCCCTTTGCCTACGTCTTTTTTGTAATGTAGTCATATGCTACATGACATCATAGTTGAGCGGTCTATAAGTCAGCTTAAAGTGAAAAACATTGTAAACATAAATTTCAGCAATTAACATATTTTGGGAATGTTCGCAGTCTTACCTCTGTCAGAATGGTTTATTAAGTTGTTCTTAATCTTATAAGAGGCCAAGGAATATTTTTTACAACATTCCTTGTAATGGGAAGGAAAATCTCGAGTTTTCTCGCACTTCTGGTATTTTTCACACTGTGAAGGTATATCATTTTGATAACCTTTCACACTGTGAAAGAATATCATTTTATTAAATGAATAAATTACAGTATTTCACTGTTTAAAATGTAAAATGTAATAAATTGGTTTATCTAATGTACATCTCAAAATTCTCAAAACACAAATGAATTTTTTAGCTGCAAGTGCTTTCTGTTACTTCATGGCTTTTTAATTCAGAAAAATACAAAATTCAGTCCTGAAGACAATATTCATTGATAAATGTCTTACACATGACCTTCTTAACTTCCTTTAAATCAAAGAATGGAAATTAACATTATAATACACACTATTTCAAATGCCTTAATATTTCACTCTATTTATAGGTGTTTTTGACAAAGAAGGTTTAAAACCTTTGTGGACGTGGGTTTTGAAACTTCTTAAAACTCTGGAAGGATGAGGAAAAGGAATTTAAACCATTGAAATGGAACATGTTGCACAAGGTTATCATGGTAATATTGTTGATTTTGAACATGCATGCCAAAATTTGGTATGATATTGCATATTACAGTGTATATTAAGAAAAGTTCAACACATGCATTCATTAACTGACATGTATTTAAAGTATGCCCTTTGTCCACAAAGAAATTTTAAAATCTTTTTATGAGGCTGATTGTATGAAATGATAGATAAATCGGCAGAATGCTTCACTTTTTTCTTATTTATTTAATTCGAAAATGAACATATAAAAATGTACATGTCACATTGGGGAAGATGTTCAGTATTTTTAAATTATATGTTGGAATTTGTATCTCAAATGGGAGGATGGCTTTTCAAAGAAGATTTAGGTTTTGATGGAGATCAGCGATTTTCTTCAAGAATGATGCATTTGATATTACTATTAACAAATTTGAACAACTCCTAATATCCAGAACTTACAAATACCTGTACATTGTACTTTTGAAAACTGATACTTGTTAGGTACATTCATATTTTTCCCAAACCAATTGAAGGCAAAATATTTTCATGAGAATGGTTAGACTAAATGACACAATGACAATCTCATATTCATGCAAAACTTTGCACTTGCAGTCATTTTTGCAAATTCAGATCTGCACATTTAAAGGAGTGGATACATGAGTGTTTTTGAATTAAAATCTGGAATTCCTGACAAGAAATGGCACAAATTAATTCACAAAATATTCATGTATCCAACCCTATATACTGATTTGACACTGGCTGCATATTTTTTTTTACACAGAAATATAATCTGACTTAATATTGTGACTTCTTTTTTGAATAACCATCACCTAGGGGTTAGTCACACTTTTCATGTGTAGAATGTCATTTTTAAAATGTTTAAAGAAAATATGGTTGTATTTTACTTTCAATTGACATGTCTCAGAGAAGCATCATGGTCCATATAGGCTTATAGTCAATTATAAATCTGAGTACATTTTACACAATTTATTGTGCTATTATTTTAAAAGTTATTAAATTTTATGTATACAACAACAGACTGATGTGATATGCTGTAAATTCCTTATTAAACGCAAGGAATTTATTATTGCAATTTTGCATGTAGCATCACTTGCGAAATAAAATGTTTCACTTTTATTTTTATGGTACTGAAACCCATGCACATTCTTCTTATCAACCGACCATTCACAAATATATATTCTTGCGATTTAATGTTTTTAAGAGCTATTTTGCAATAGTAAGTACTCCCAAAAAATAAGGAATCTGCAGTATGTACATGTATAATCTTTGAATTGATGTTTGATTTTTTTTTTCAAATCCAGATCATCCATTTATAAAAGATGACAGCATATCAGCACTGCCTTAAGATTGGAGTTGAGACCTTGTATTTTTTACACAGAAAATAAAGAACAGTTGCTGAATGAAACAGATACTCACAGAAGCAAATATAATGAGCCCAAAATAATGGTGATCAAGTTTGAATGATTTTATTCTCTGGTTGAAATGTTATTGAAATGATACTACTGATCCAATTTTAGAAGTGGTTGACAATGAATACTAAGTATTTTGTTGTATATAAGTAATAATGGCTTATTTTAAAACTGTATAAAGCTTGCAATGTTTATATCAAATGTAATGATATTGTGTAGGAATCACTTTTTTTTAAGGATAAAAGATGTAATTTTTTTTTCAATCAGAATTTCCTAAAAAGACTTTCTAATGTAAATACATGTATAAATAAAAGAAGTTTATAACCCTTTCTTTTACTGTCATTGAAATACTGTAACCATGGTAACAATGAACTGGAATTTTACACAAAAAATATTTTAACATGAAAATTTCAAATTTCAAGGTTTTATGAAGTTTGAATTGCGGCTTATATTGCTTTTTATTGAACTATTTCCCTTATCCTTAGATTTGTTGTGCATTCTATGTAATAAATTTAATTTTGGAACATGGGAAAGGTCTTGTTTTGAACTCTGCTGATTTTAACTCAAGCAGAGTAAATGTATTTAATACATGTACATCTATATATCACAAATGAAATGGCTATTTTAAAAAATATATACATGTACATGTATATCTGTAAAAATAATCAATCTTCCCAAAGAGTTTTTTCCCTTGTTCACAATGTAAAAAAAAAAATCTGAATGATATATGCATGACTGTTTTACAAAAAGCAAAGAGATAAATTTATTTTATGTTTTAGAAATGTCCTCATTGTGTCCAGTATCTGCTTTTCTAACAAGTATTAATGATGTTGAAATAAACTGTGCTAATATTAAAAAGTAATTTTATATCATGACATGATTATATATTGAACCCTGTTCATTGGAGCTGTGGCCAGAAGTGTTTGGCTAATACAGCTAGGGGTTCAAAATATTTCACAGAGTGCGATTAAAATACAGAAATATATTTATTATCGTAAAACATATACTTAGAAAACATCTTGTTGGATCTTTTTTCAAGTATGATCTCAGTGAAAAGGAACTGGATCTGGTTGTATCAATATAAACTGTTGATACAACCCGGTCCTGGGTGTAAAAAGAGCTTACATGTACATGTATATATTCTAGATATTTATTTAAATGCTTTTGGGTCTATGAAAAAGGCACAATATGAAGAAATGTGAACATTTTTAGCCAAACTTGACATTGGGGACAGGGATATACTAAGTATGTGTAAGATCATGATCAAGTGACACCTACATGTAATAGTCAGCTAGATTGAAAAGGGTTATGTTTTGAAGTTTGCTAAATCATTCTAGGTATGACTAGGAAATTAGATTTGTGTGTGTGTGTTTTCATACATGTCCCCCCCCCCCCCATTTTTATGTTTTTATGATTCTGACTAAGGATGTTGGTATTTAACAACCCCACCCCCCCACCACTCATGTGGACAAAGAATTCCTGGAACCATTCATACCTTCAATAAAAATATCCAAAGTGCTCTGGAAAATTTATTAAACCCTAGAGATAGGGTTTAAAATAAAGAAGTATGAAAATGGGAGAAAAAATATTGAGAAGCAGGATGGATGGGTCTCATCCCTCCTTTCCAAATAAAAATAAGTTGGAAAAAAGAGAAGAACTTGTGTTTGTTTCGGGGGGGGGGGGGGGGTAATTTCCTGCATGTCTAACCAACTTGACATGTTTAGGGATCCAGGTTCTGAGTCATTTAGATTGCATGTAATTCAGCATTCATAAAAAAATATTTTTGTATCATTTAATTTTAATTTAATATATACTTATAACACTAGCTCTGAAATCCAAATAACTCCACGCCCCCCCCCCCCCTTCCATGCCCGTATGGATTATTGGATAATGGAACCACCTTTTAAAAGTATTCAATGTTCCTGAAACATGATGACGAAAATCTTGTTAACATTTGATGTGTATCTTTAACTGTATAAAGGAATTGCTCGTAACTGGTTTGTCAAGATATGAGTTTTATATAGAAAACAGACTATAGGTGTGAACACTCTCCTTTAATGCGAACCTAATGACCTTTGACTAGTTCAAGAGAAACCACGTGATGTAAATTTAAATAACAACAACATTAGTAGGGGTGAATATGTGAATATTTGCTTTAAACATCTCACGTGATACCCACGTGACTTGGTGGTGAAGGAGACTTACCTGTAAGTTGAACTTTAATTAAAATTCTCCGAAGCACCAAGGAACGTTGGGTATTACGTGCCCACCCTTGATCTCCCTCCCATGGGAACTTGGGTGATAAAATTATGATAATGAAGCATCTGTAAAATAGTTTATTAGTCAAGAATATTCACATATTAAGTTAAATACTGATCTGGGAGTAGGCTTGCATATCTCACGTAATACCCAACGTTCCTTGGTGCTTCGGAGAATTTTAATCAAAGTTCAACTTACAGGTAAGTCTCCTTTAATTTTTTAATTCTTCAAATACATGTATCTAAAACTAATATTGAAAGGATTAAAGAGCACAAAATTTAACAAAACATGAGGGGGAAAAGTGAGGGAAGAAAACAATAAATTCTATAAAAAAAAAATAATGGGGTAAAAAAAAAGAAAAGAAAGAAAAAAGAGGGGAAGGCTGAGATCTAGAACCATATGTTTTTGTGTACTTTCAACGTAAAAGTCAAGATCTTCATATATAACTGGCTGGCTGAGATTTACATCATTTGTTTTGTTTTTTATTTATTTATTTTTTTTATTTTAAGGGGATGTTTTATTATTTCATCTACAGAAATCATTGCAAAGATATCATGAATAAAGGATTTATACCAAAAAAAAGCCTAAAACTTGTTATTCTGATTTATTTTCATTGTAGTTAATAACAATTTAAGATTATTTAAAATATCTAATTTTAAAAGCTTATATTAATGTTTTAATGAAAAGGAAGTCTTCATAACAATTATCTATTAAAACTTTGTAAGACTTCAACAATGTGTTTTGTAAATTGGCGCCTCAAGTTGAGTTAAAAAATATCCAAAAGACGTTAAACACAAAAACAAACTTATTTCATAATTGCTTACTTGAAGCAAAAATCTACAGCGGTATATCTTTGATCAAAAGTACATGTATCATTTTACTTTGATGAGATATAAACTGGAATCATGTATCACTCTCTGATTTATTTTAAATCTGGTGTTTCTGAAGAGGGCTACGATTCTACAGCATATTCTATCAAGTCAGTAAACATAGCGGATAAATTCATCTTATGATGTTGACATACACAAAAATAACAGATATACATGTATGGACCGTTGTGAATATTTTTGGATTGATTTATGTCTTGTATGACTACATTTTTGGAGTGCAGGGAAGAAATGTTTATGAAATAGCCATTTATTGATAATTTGATAAAATCTGCCAACCCCAAACTTTAACCCTATCCCTAGCAGCCTAACCCTAAGCCTGACTCTAGCGCTAACTCTAACCCTAGCAGCACTTGCACCATTACGGAAATTCTAAGGAACTGTAGCCCTCTCACCCGCTCCCCCAAAAGGGAAAGGGCTACAAGTACATTATTGCAGCTTATGATATAATAATAAGATAACAGTGTTACCAGTTATTTGCATCAACAGTGAAGAGACATTGTAATTTCATATGAATGTGTAATCTGAAAAAAAAATATTGGAACGGAAAGACAAACACGATTTAATTAAACATAGCAAGAATTGATTCACAATTAAGAACAATTATATATTAACAATAGTTTTGAAGAGACATATAACATTTTGATGTACATATAATATATAACAAAATGCATGTCACTTGAATTTTGAAAAGTTTTCTCCCGTTTCAGTAGTTGCTCTCTTTGTTCTGTCAGTTGTCTTTACATATTCATAATCGAAGAGATGGAGATAACTTCTCTCAAGATTCGAACCGAAGCACCACAACCACCCTTCTCTGTCAACTGAGAGAGACGTAATAAATGATAATCCATCTTCCGGCCATACAACGATTCTTAGAAACTGACCACTAATGTCTAACATGTGGACAGAATTATCCTTTTTGTTTGCAGCTAAAATGTTGTCATCTTGATCAAGACAGGCACATGCTGCTGCAAAAGACGAACATATGCTGTTTCGAGCACTCCCGTTGTATGTAAACAGAATTGATAATTTTTGATCATATACTTCAAGATATTTTCTACAAATGATGGCTATTTGTGACCCTGTATTTTTTAGGATACAAAGTTTTGCAACTTCTGAATTTTCAGATTCAGGGACAGATTTTTGATTTGCAAAGTTGTCTGCTTCTCCATTTTTGTCTACTCGATACATTGATAATCTATAACTCGAAGAACTAAAGCTTTGATATGATTTCTCCGTTAACAAGGATATACCTAATTTTTCATTTTCTTCTACTGCCAGTATTACCTCATTTTTGGGATTCTTGACTGAAAACAAAGACAAACATTTTCCATTATGTAAGTAAAGACTCAACTTTGACCTGTTGTTCCAAATGAAAAGGATTCCATGTCCCGACGAAAGTCCAACGCAACCATCCACATTCGGAAGTGTTTCCTTCAGAGAAGTGTCATCAATAGCTACAAAGAGCTTGTTCAAAATATGCATGAACATTTTCCCTCCATGAAATAAAATTTCCTTAAGTTGATTTGTTGCACCGTGAATCTGGGATTGAAACTGGAAACAAATAACTCTGTTTTCTTGGTCTTTAATTTTCTTCTTGCAGAATAATAACTTTCTTCCAGTTTTGTCATGAAAGGGAGATTCTCTTTCAATTTGCCGGTCTTCATCAGAAGACAGATATAAATCATGTTGTACGACCACGCTTCCGAACAGATCCTCTATCTGTTTCCTTCCAAGATTTATATCAGTTTTGAATGTAACGTTCACTGGGTCGTGAATTTTTGTTTCCCTTTCAAGCCGTCGTAATTCGCTATGAAATTGCAATATTTTAATACAGTTTGTTTCCGTTTCTGTGTCAAAATCAGGTATTTCTGATAAATTATCTATTTCTTTCTCGCTTTCCTGAATTTTTTCTTCACATTCTGAAACAGCTTGATATACAGTTTCGGTACATTGTTTCCGGATATCTCTGACTTCTGCAACAATGGTTTCCTCCCTGCTGTTTATTTCGTCAATAAGTTTAATTTTCCTCTCTTCTAGGGTTTTACGCTTACAAATCAGTTCACTTTTTATTTTTTCAATCACAGGTACTTGGGTCGTGGTTTATAAATATTTATAATGTACCTTATTGATATGTAAAAAAAGTAAAGGTATGCAGGCTCCGTAATGGCGTCTGCTCAACTCGCTTGTTTACATGACCTGTTTTCTTTAAAAAACGCTGCACCTACCGATATTTCTGCACCGGACGCCTCAGAACATTGATTACTAATTGTAATTATCCTCACATCTTGCAAATAATTCCTAAAAGGTGATTTTTAAACAATTTTTCAAAATTTTCGTTAACGTGCCCGGAACTAAGTGCAAATACTAAAACCCGAATCAAAATGAAGAATTCCGGCCATTAAGACACTCCAAAATTCTAGAGGCATTCCGAGAAAATTATAAATAGTTATGGAAATTTCAAGTTATATTTAAATTTCTCGGGATGCCTCTAGAATTTTGGAGTGTCTTAATGGCCGGAATTCTTCATTTTGATTCGGGTTTTAGTATTTGCACTTAGTTCCGGGCACGTTAACGAAAATTTTGAAAAATTGTTTAAAAATCACCTTTTAGGAATTATTTGCAAGATGTGAGGATAATTACAATTAGTAATCAATGTTCTGAGGCGTCCGGTGCAGAAATATCGGTAGGTGCAGCGTTTTTTAAAGAAAACAGGCCATGTAAACAAGCGAGTTGAGCAGACGCCATTACGGAGCCTGCATACCTTTACTTTTTTTACATATCAATAAGGTACATTATAAATATTTATAAACCACGACCCAAGTACCTGTGTTTTCAATCAGTGAATTTTCTCCATGCAAGGATTCCATCAGTTCTTCATGCCGCGCCTGAATATACGAAGACGCTTTGTATATTTTATGTTGTAGATGAGATGTTGTTATACACGTCATACAAACTGGACACTCGCATTCCTCACAGTATATCGGCATTAGTTTCTCCTCGTGAGATTTACACATTAGATACTTTGTATTGTGATCCATAGTGAAATTTTTCCATGTACCCACACGGCACAATTTAGTTTATGATTTACAAACTTTACACGGGCAAAGCTGGATGCACCCGTTCCGTTAAATTCCTTGAAGGTATGCATTGATTATACGACGTGCAGATGGCGAAATAATTAGACAAAATACAAGTACAAGTTCTTCCATACAACTATTAAACTGTAGTCTCGATCTGTTGTATTCTATTTACA